TTGTGTCCATGAAGATGGTTCTACTTCAATTCTTTTCACTTTCACCCTCTTTTCTTGGTTCCTCCCTAGAACCCCACTCCGTTGTAACATAGGCTGATGGAGCTAGAATTCCTCAAGTCTGAAAAGGTCCAAAAAAATGGACTATTATATGTAGGGGGTGATCAATTTTGGGTACCTTGCATTTTTTAAAAGAACCGGAACCGAAATTAGAATCAACCGGTTCCTAAGTTTTGGAACCAAAACCGGAACCGATTGATTCCAGTTTCAGGTATTCGGGTTAATTTAATTACCCCTATTTAAAAAAATGACGAATACACCCCCAACAATTTATAAAAATTATAATTCAATTCCTACTTGAATACCTAGACATAGGAATTTATGATTCCTACCAAGAATTGACGGGTGGGTACTCACTTGTTTCGGTTCTACCTTTTACTCTTGCTCAGCCCTAACGATATGCAAGCTCAATGCAATCAAGTAATATACATAGATTTAGAAAATCTTTATGCAAAACGAGCATACCATCACGTACGATATATGACGTGCTTACGTAGTTCATGCTATTGGTTAGGCATACATAAACTCGTTTCATAGAAGAATTATCGAAACAAAATGTATTTAAATAAATATATAAAAATAATTAAAAGTTTGTCCTAAATGACTAATTAATTAGTTTATTATTATTATTATTATTTTCAATTAATAAAATATGGATTTAATAGTTGTTCTTAAGAAAAAACCCAAACCTAGGCCCACTATTTTATATGAAAGCCTTTTCTCTGGGTAGCCCATGAGCAAGGCCCACAGAGAAATTCACATCTGACATCCCTAGACAAAGATAATCAAAGTTTAAGGTCATAATGGAAAAAAACCGTTCTAACTCTAAAACCCTAGCCCTACATCGAATAAAACCCTGACATTCTCACCGTCGGCATACCGCCCTTGAGCGGTCCATCCATTCATTTGTTCATAAAGTTTCAATTTTTCGTATTTGATTTTAATTCATTTGATGTGTGGTTTTGTAGCTCTGATTAGGTTTTAGTTGTTTAATTTTGTGTGTGATAAAGAAAAATTATATCAATGACGATAAATGTATAATCCCAGCTCATTATGAGGCCTTTGTTAGTCAAAGGTCAGGGAATAGACTTTTCCAACATTTATTTGAGCAACATAATTTTTTTTATTTGTACCAGTTTGCTTTTGTGCTTTTTTTTTGTTTTTTAATCATATGATTTGATCTGTTTCTGTATCCGGTTATTGTTTATTTTGTATATCTTCATCTGGGTTTGTTTCTTATTTGGTCCCTGTCATGTTTCAAAATATTCATGCTAATGTATATCTGATTGTTTTATGACTGAAAGATTTACTTTTTCTGAGGGAACTTCGATGATTTGAATGTTCATGGGTATATAAGAAATCTTGAAAAAGTTGTTTTTGTTTGCTTACAATTGAGCTTGTTTCTTAGTTTGGTTTTATTTTGTGTTATAGGTATACTGTTGCACAGTGTGAACAGAATCTGAAAAATTAAATGTAGGTTGTTACATGGTTTTGTTCGTTATTGAGTGTGAAAATATTCTATTTCTTGTGAAGATTTATGTGCTTATGTTGTTGAATTTTTGCATAATCTCCAGTAAAGAGGGACTGTTCCCAGTGATGTTTCATTACTGACCATGCTAATTCTGATAATTAGATGACTGAATACTTCTTTTGTTATGCTCTGAGGGAACTATTCTTCTCTTATGTGATTACATTTTGTTCCTCTTTGAGTTTTGTTTAAGATTAAGTAAGACAACATTTCATAATGGAGGTGTTATTATTGATTAAATTTGTTGCGCAGTTGTGGCGAGCATTCTGACGCTTAGTTCTGAGTATTCCTGCATTCACTTATACACTTTATGGTATGTTTACAAAATCTTAATTTTAGTACGCAACTAAGTTTCCTAGTATCACATTGTGATTGAATTTCTAATTATGAATGTTTAGTTTATGTTGATTGCTTAGTACTTGGTGATTAATTTAAGCTGTTTTAATAAATGACTTTTGTGTAATGATGCAAATCTTCTCTTAAAATACTCATAATTTGACGGGGATTTCTAAAGAATTCCAATACTTGACCGGGGCGAACCAGTTATGTTTGTAGATTCCTAAGTAACCGTCATAAATAAATGCCCTGGGTGTTGATGGTCCTCCTTAATAGGTGCTCCTCCATCCGTGGGCAGGTCTCATATTCCATCGCCTTGTGGAGTGGCGTTGCTGCTTTTACCATTTGGGACTGGCCATGAGACATACATTTGTTATATCATCATAGAAGAATGGATTTTACATATTCTTTAATGCATTATTTAATGTTCTAGTTATGTAATTTCTGTTATATGTTTAGTTGTGATGATGATTTCTATTTTGTATTTTTGTGACGGGGGATTACTCAAATTCTTTACTTTATTGGGGCAAACCAGCTATGTTTGTACATTCCAAAGTAAACGTCACACATAAATGTCCATTGACGTTGATGGTCCTCCCTCTGGGGAGTTCCTCCGTTGATGGGTGGTCTCATATTCCATCGCCTTGTGGAGCAGCGTTGTTGCCTTTACCATTTGGGACTGGCCATGAGACAAACATATTCTCTGCATTTTTCTATTTTTTTTTCTTTGTGTAAAAGAAATGTGGCCCAGGAGGAAATCATTCATAAAATACACCATCTTTCAGGACTGAATGGCTTGTTTAGCCTTGGTGACATTCTGCAATTTTGAGGCTGTATGTTTGTTTTGCTTTACTTGTGTTAGTATTTGGCTATCTGTGCTTCACTTGTGTTAGTTTTTGCTTTTCATATAGGACTGGTAGTAAAATAAGTATTTTCCTTTTTTCTGTTTTAATCTTTTGGTGTTGAGAAATGTGGCCTAGGAGGATATCATTCACAAAATACCATCTTTCGGGACTGAGTGGCTTGTTAAGCCTTGCTGACATTCTGCAATTCTGAGGCCCTAATGTTATTTATTTGATTTTTGTGTTATAAAGGCTTTCAAAACCTGCATTAATTAGATGCCTGCTGAATACCATCAAAATATTTTGCTTTTTATGCTTTTAATTTTTCAATGTATTTTAATAAATCTTAACCAATTGACGGTGGCACCGAAATCTCTGACAACTTCACGCCAAGAACTCTCAGAAGTTGAAACAGCCATCAGAACTGGTGTGGATCTTGTCTCGGCTGCAGGCGAAATATCAGGTTCTTGAGAACCGTGAACGAGTCCCAGTGGCTTCATGAGAGAGCAACTGTTTGTTGAAGCCATTAGAAGGTGATAAAGATTTGAAAAAGTAAGTTGATTGGACGGTGATGAGTGGATGCATGGATTGAATTTGCAGGTATGATGTGCTGTGGATACTGTTGATTTGTGATCTAACAGTGGGGTCAACGCATGCTAGGATTTTTCCTCTGTTTGATATTGAGTGGGTTTGGTTTTGTCACACCTTGAATCTGGCAAACTAGCTAGATTTCTACAGTCTAATATTTTCTGTCAACTTTCTGTTTGGTTGTTGAGAATATGTTGGAAAATCTGTGTAAATCTCAATTTTTTGGTCACTTATGTTAACTAGAGTTAATGGTTGCTGAACTTTTGTTCACTTGTATTCTATTTAGTGTTTTTATTGGTAATTAAGAGTTAACTAAAGCTTTAAGTTTGTTGGTTTATTCTTTGTTGATATAGAAGCTTTCAGGATACCGGATTGATTAGCATTAATATTCAACTTCATACGAAATAGAATACATGGTTTAGTAATTAAGAAAACAGGGAGCAATTTCATTCCCACTTGTCATTTATTTTTCATATCATTTTCTCAACAACCAAATACAGTCTTGCAGTCATTTAATGATATGGAAGTTACCAATATTATTTCTGAGGTCAGTTACAGGCAATACTGTGATCAAGGTTCTCGAAACTCATTGGAAAACCAGCGATTTTCGATGAAGAAAACAAAGAGTGTGCCTTGATGAGATGCAAAGAAATTTGGACCAACAGATACCCAGTTGAGCCTCTTGAGAATATCAAAACTAATAGAGTATACTTGTAATAAATCATGTGGGCATGCCTTGGCTTTGGGGATTGTTTATCATGGGGTGATGAGCATGATGCATAGCATTTTGAGGCATATTTTGTTAAAAAATTGCTGATTTTGCAAAGAAGCATACCCACTTGAGGTTGAGAAATAATGCAAACTTTCTTGTATAATTAGGAGAAATTGATACTTTGTAATATAATTTGTTTGGTCCATTCATTAAGTTTCTCATAAGGTCACAAAATTTGGTAAGTGAATATAATTAATTTTAAGTCATTTAACCAACTTTACCTAATCTCTCCAAATTTAATTCATGTGACTTCACCTAAACGCTTCCACTTAAATCCTGCATACTCTTTACTTACCAAATCGGTTTTAACGTGTCACTGCATACTCTTTCTCTCTTCTCTACATCGAGAAGCCTGCTACCTTATTTTGTACCTTTTGGTACAAGATGATTCCTGACTCAGCCGGCGATGAATATCCCACCTGCAAATCAAATAATTCATCTTCAATATTTACAATAGGAGCAAGGCTAGAAGAGAGACAAGTGGGACAATTGCAGACTTATTGGCCGAAGATGGGTGAATTTTCAGATCCCTAGTGTTTAAAACTTACCCATCTTCGGCCAATGGAGTCTGCAATTTTCCCACAACTGAAAACAGCATATTGAAAAATGTACCAAGCATAGTTAATCAGTAACTGTGAAATATTTTACAAAAGACTAGTACTTCTCATTGTGCCGGTAGTTTGTTCATTATTGGGAGTAATTTGGTTTTTCTTTTTTCTGGCTCTTTATTGATCATGGTGCAGAAAATTATGAGGACGTAATTGGTATTAGAACTTTGGTCACAATTGATTTTCATCATCCAATTTCAAATGAGAAGAAAGGCAAATTGGGTATTTCGTCCTAGTGTTTCTCATTGTTACTCTTGATATCAAAAACACATTACACTTTCAACTATTGGCAACAGGTATATGTGGAGTTTTTAATTTCTTCATTTAATTCTTTGAATTTTACTTTTGACCTTTTTGTTTCAGAAGCGGTCCTTTGTGCGGATTTCCACCGGATTTAATCGAGGTATGTATGTTAATTCATCATTTTCATGATAATTGTATGGTGAAACTTCATCGTGGCCAACATAAACTCCAATTCAACAATGGAAACCTCAATAAACGCTTTCATCTCGCATTGTCACCGGAACTCATCTTGCTGGTATTCATCATCTCCGATCTTCACCTCTCCCCCACGCGCAGTCGGAACTCAACTGCCAATTTGTTCTCTGTTTAGTAAATCATTTTCATGGCTTTTAAACATTTCAATTATAAAGACATGGATGTAGAATGTGTTAATGATTTTGATACTCGGTATGCTCTTGAAAAGGGAAAAAATATTAAACAAATCCCGGCAGATTCATTACCCGGGACTCCAGCCCGGCGTAATAAAAACCCTGTATTTATCCGGATCCGGGTTCATTATTCACACACACACACAGAGTCACACACACGCATACACAGTATATATATATATGCATTTTATTAAACAATTTGGATGAAATCCATCAGATCAAATTTAGGAGAGAGTAATGTAAATTCATAACCCAATCTCACAATACTCGACGTGGTCAGCTCGTACATGTGTCTTACTTGCTTGTTATGAGTCGCGTCAATTCATTTGCGAGTTAACTTATTACGAGTTAGCATGCTAGAGGTTGTGAAAGAATGTTATGAAATTGAGTCGTGGATCTTTACTGAATTCAACAATTTTAGCATATCGAAACCATAAGCCAATGTGAGATTGGAAAAATATACCTTAGATATAATAAATCTCATGATGACTTTGGTTTCTACAAGAACCTTTGGTTGTATGTGAAAATATATGTTATTTATACTTTTCCAGGATGACTTTGGTTTCTACAAGAACCTTTTACAAGAATTGGCTCAGAAAGAAGGTTATGCTTTTCCTGTTTATCATACAAATCGATCTGGTGAAGCTCATTACACCAACTTTTGTTTCAACTGTTGAGGTAGAAGTAGAAGTTTCTACTGGGCAGGAAGCAAAGACGAAGAAGAAGCTGGCAGAGATGAGTGCAGCAAAAGTTGCTTACCTGACTCTCAAAGAACGTATGTGCAGTAAAAACTTCTGCTGCACTCATCTCTGCCTGCTTGTTCGTCTATTTCGGTAAGTTCCATGAGCGCTGGTGACGGAGCTCTTGAAGCCGTGATTTGTACATTGTTTTTTCACTGTTTTTGCTTCTGGTTTATGGAGACTAAAGCGAGTTTTGGTTTTGAAAAGTACTGGCTCCACAATATTATTTATAGAGAGGAAATGTTTGTAGAGCTAGCTCTAAAACATAAAGAATTCATGATCAAGATCCGTATTATATATAAACACAAAGGAAACATGATCAAACGGAAAGAACAGAAAACGTAACGAAGATATATATAATTATATATAGAGTTTCTGTAAATGAAAAAACAAACAAACTCAAACGCAAAGAATTCATATAATATTCAATATATTATTGTTACCCTGAATAAATTAAACACTGATGGTTTCTGGTTTCCATGAATTCTCCATCCAATATTATTGTTACCATTTGATTATGGATTTTAATTCAAATCAATAAAAGAGGAAATTTGCTTACAATAACTTAGAAGATATAAACTACCACTAGGTGACCTGATGGTAAAAGAACAAAAAAAGATTTGATTAATATAGTCTCTCAACTTCGAGTACTCTTGATGGTAGAAGAGCAAGATGAAGATCTAACATGGTCTCAAGTTTGAGTCCTCACGATTGCTAATAGAGATAGTTACTGAAGCTCTTACCCGACTGATAATTTTAGGTCCTAGAGGATTAGTTGAGTTACTAATAGGAGTAGCAAAGAATATTAAAGTTTTTCATGCAAAAGATGAGCTCAAAATCAAAGAAATTGAACATTAGAGAATATTTCAACTATGCTAAATACAGATTTTATTGATATATGTTACATATATTGACCAATATTTTCTCAAGAAAAGTAAATATAATGACAACTTGTGTGTATTTATATAAGCTAGATTTTAGAATGAACATGTGTGAATGATCTACAACTTCTCCTTAATTAATTATCCCAAACAAAAAGAATCAATTTTTGTTCTAATTTTAATTATATGAAGAAGCAAAAAAAGATAACTCTAAAGAACTGCCAGGGCCATGGATCGATTGAAACTGCTACGCATAACTCTTGGCCTCGGCGGTTTCTTCTTCATTCCTTTACTCTCCATTACTTCTCTTCCCATCTTTCCATTTGATCCATATGGGATTGTAACTGGACCCATATTCATCATATGTTGATTCCCATCTTTTGTTGCTCCACCGTTAATTAGTATTCTTGTAATCCCTACGTAGTGCAAAGATTCAGCAATCTGTAATGGCGTAACGCCCTTACTGGTTCTTGCCTCAACATCGGCTCCCTTTTTCACCAACAGTTCTGTAACATCTGTGTGCCCTGACTCCACTGCACAATGCAAAGCTGTGTAGCCATCTTCGTCTTTGGCATCTATTTCAATTCCCTTATCAATCAGCATCCTCACAACTTCTATCTTTCCCTTGAATGAAGCTCTATGTAGTGCAGTCCATCCATGTAGATCTTTTCCGTTTATCACAGCCCCATTTTCTATCAGTTTTTGAATTGTTTTCATTTCACCCTTTCGCGCAGCGACGCATAGACTGTCACCGAGCCTCAACGCATCGAAGAGACGAGTATGCCCATACTCAGCAGCAACATCATACGCAGTTTTGCCACTTTTGTTTCGGATGTCTTTGTTGGCACCTTTTTGTAATAACAGCTTCACCATCTGTTCGTCTCCCAACCCTGCGGCGATATGCAAGGGCGTGTCGCCATCTCTAGTGTTGCGAATATCAGGTTTAGCACCATTCGCTAATAAAAGCCGCGCGCAATCTTTTCTTCTTTCCTCAACTGCAAGATGCAAAGCTGTGTTTCCGTCCTTTGTAAGGGCGTCAACAGTGGCACCTTTAAGTAACAGAAGTCTCAGTACCTCTAAATGGCCGCCTCCCAAGGCCAAGTGTATTGGCCCCCAAGTAGAAGTTTCTGATCTTTCTGTGCTGACTTTTCTCGCTAATAGAAGCTCAACGATCAGTGCTTCACCGGCAGCCGCCGCCGCCTCGAGTGGACTACAACCGGACCGGCTTTGTGACTCAACATCCGGCTGAAACTCCAGGAGGAGTTGAACAATATCAGGCCGGCCTTGAGCTATGGCAATATGAAGCAAAGTCTGTCCATGTGAATCCACTGAACCAACCGGGTTCCACGCCGGGTCACTCCGTTCAAGAACTTCTCTTATCTCATCCATTGATCCGTCAAGAACGAGTTGAACCAAAACGGGTGAACCAACGAACATGATCTTGATCCCACTATCAATAAAGACTTGTTTTTTCCTGGTGGTGAACCAGTCACTCGGAGCTGCATCGAAAGTCGATTTTACGTCTTTGATCGCGGCGCCAGGAACCACAATACTATGCAAAAGAAAGGAATCATCGCTGTGAGGGAAGGAATCAGGAAGATTCAACCCGAGTGGGAGCTGATACACAATCTCTACAGTTTGTGTTGCAAGCGGTGATATGATTCCTGACTGTGGCTTGACTGTGTAACGAGCCTTGTTCATCGGTTGAATCCTGAATGCCACAGGCATGGTGTACATAACGTTCCTTAGTGTGAGCTCTCCATAACATTTCTGCCCTGGTTCAATCCTGATCGCAACCAGATTTGAAGGCTCCAAACTTATAAGCCTATCCATCTTCTCTTCTCCAGCAAAATTGATAAATCTTTTCTATGTTGGCTTCTCTCAAATGGGTTGTATCAAGTTTGTGTTTGGGAAGGTTGTTCAAGTGGGTTTTGGTGCCATGAAAGAGGAGAAAAATCAGAGAAAAGGAAGTGAAGAAACAGGTTAGGTGAGTGTATTTTAAGTAGGGAAAAGAGAGGCCGGCTCTAATGAGAGATTGACATGTGGTGGTGTTAAAAACAATGAGGACTTGTTCTATTCGGCGTCCCGAATACACGACTCCTAAGACACAGTTGTGCAATCTATAAGAAAGGTGAAATTATTTTTAGAGTTGTTTCTTAAAGTCACTTTCAGGATTGTATTAAATTATGCAGAAGAAAACAATTTTTATTGTTCTAGTGAAGTATACACCTATGAAGCATTAATAATTAAAGACTATCCAGAGGGATTCATTGGACAAACTCCTATAGATGCTCTATTTCTAAAGAGCATATATTATAATATTGAACCAATTGGGGTTTTAATTTAAGCAGTCTAGTGGCTGTATTAACTAAAAGTAATGTCACTTTTATGTGTGTGAAGAAGCTTAGTGGCATAATCATTTACTTAGCCAACAAAAATGGGTATTCTAAATACTCGTTCATTTGGTCATCACCGGTTGCTTTCTTTATTGTTTGTGATGGTTTGTTTCGGTTTCAGTTTCACCATTGCTGACACATACCTACTTTCGAGTGTGTATTACTTAAAAGATTTTGAGTTTGAGTTCCTCCTTGATTGCTAATAGGGGTAGTTACTTAAACTCTTATCTGATTAGTAGTTCTAAAAGTCCAAAAGACTAATATTGAGATATACGTAAACTGATCCGGACACACCGTTCATCAAAATCATTGTTTAATGCATTATAATATGTGTCTTGTAAAATCAATAAGAGCATCTTTGAGAGCATTTTGTCACCAGCAATGGGACAGGCAATCAATTTCATCAGTAAAAATGATGTTTATGAAGTCAGAAGATAGCAAATCTAGTTCAGATTTTGTTACATGTAATCTTTTTATCTCATTTCATGTCTTTGTTCATGTTGTATCAAACAAATTAGGTTATAATCTCAAGAGACTAGAAAGACAAAAATGGTCCAGAAAAAGAAAAAACTGCATTTGCTCTTTTATATTCATAATTAATAGAATTTGAGGTCAGTCTCACTCTTTATCCAATAATACCCTATTAAATAAAATGATTATCCTCTCTTATAACCTAGTAGGTTTGAGCGTGTCTAGTCAGTATGAGACTCTAACACTCTCCCTCACGGTCAAGCTCATATGTTACCAATAGGTTTGAACGTGCCTAGTCGGTGGGACTCTAATATTTTCTCTCACGGTCAAGCCCATATGTTGGGTCATGCCTGTTATTAGAGGTAGTTGTCGGCTCTAACTCCTCACCATGAAAAAATTTGAGGTGGATCTGACTTCTCATCTAATAAAGTTTTGTTGAATGAGAGGATTACTCTCTCTTATAAACTAGTAGGCTTGAACGTGCCTAGTCGGTGTGAGATTCCAATAATAATATATTTTTCTTTTCTGGAATTTTCATTAATCTATCTCCAGATTACTGTCAAATATATTTTAGATTGTGAGCAAACACCATCTTCTGAGTGAGATATTGAATGATTTTCCTAACAATTGTGTGCTGTTTACAGTAATGCAGGCTGAGCATATTCCATGTCTGTCGACTGTCATTAGGAGATTATTTAATTAAATTCTTTCTGAATTATAACACCTTTTCATGACTTATTGGCGTTCTTGTGAAAACCAATTAAATTTCATTGAAACTCAATCCCAATCCCACCTAACGTCCATTATTTTTATGACCCAATGATCCAAGATCCAATCATTTTCATTTAATATTAATGAATAAACTAGTTATATTATTATTAATTATTATATGATTTTTTTTACAGGGTAAACTACTTTTTCCCACCCTAGGTTTGCCCTAATCACACTCTTCCACTTAAAAAGTTTCAAAATTCTACTGTTTCACCCAAAATTAATATTTCATTACTATCCAAAGCCGATTCGGACAACGAAAATTCTCCAGATCACCACCATTTGCACATTTGGTCTCCCTTTTACAAAACTCCTCTTACATTGGTATTTGATTTCTCATCGATTGTTAGCTAACACAAAACTAGGGTTTTCTGTTCTTGTTTGATTTTTAATTGATTTAAATGGTAAATATTTAATCAATCACTACCATTCGATCTACCGGCCTCCAGTCTACAAAATCTGTAATTCAAATAATGATTATATATAGAATTTACAATAATTGTTGATCATATTATAAAAATTTAGTGGAACCCAATTGATTAAAATTTGATTAGCAAAAGAAATTAAACTAGTAATTAAATGCAAACAAGTTTCTTGTGCTAAAAATGGAGAATATTCATGGGGAAAATAACAGATGAGAAGGGACAACAAATGGTGCTCCCAAATGGTAACAAAAATTCATAGGAATTAACTGCAAATAATATATAAATTAATTATATAATTATTTTCACTTCCCTAAATCTCCAACTTCGATTTATACAATCTTTGTGTCACTACCGCCAAAAATATTTATTTAATCTTCAAATAATATGTGGCGACTCGAGAGGCATTTGCGTTACGATTGAGGATGTGTAATCATATTTATACTAATAATATTGAAGAATATTATTAATTATTCTGAATACCAAATTATCTTTATAAAAAAAAAAAATTTGTACAAATATAACACAAAGTAGGTTGTTGTGAAGGCATGACTTTATTGTGAAATAATTACCTCTGGATAGTCGAATGATTCGATAAAAACTCTTGAATGTATTACTAAAGAGGTCTCGAGTTCAAATCTCTCCTCGATTGCTAATAGGGGTGACTATTGAAACCGTAACTTGATTAATAAGTGATAGTCTGATAGTTTTAGGGTCTCAAAAGATTAATTGAGGTGTACGTAAACTAACTAAAATACCGTGATCATAAAAAAGAAAGACTTTACTGCAAAATGGAAATTATTGTAGAAAACAAATACAATCAAAACCAAAAGTCATAATTTATTTAAAAAAAAATGACATGGGCTTTGTGTTTGGCCCAATTACCAAATAAGCCCCACTTAAATTAGGCCAACCTATCAAGCCCATCCACTTTCATTTGTATGTAATTGATCCTTCCGTCAAGTAGGAAACAGTCAAACCCAATAAGATGTTGGAGCCTCCATGATATGATCTTATATTGTACAATTATATATATGTAATTTTTACTTTTCAAAGACATGATATAATATGATGTAAATTATTATTAATAAATTGAGATGTTGAATTTTATATGTGTAGGTTTATTCCATATTTTGTTTGAAAACTAATTGAATTGGTGCCAACCCTTGAGGAAGAGGGACAAAAACATCACTGTTTGTGCTTGTTAAATTGTGAATGCCCCAAATCCAAATATGTGCTCTGTGACAAAGGAATCCAGTCAATGTATTTACCATTTGTCTACATATAATTTCTGTATCAATCACCTATAATCCCAGTCAATGTAATTTCTGTATAATCAATTTATCAAACAAGGAATGTGTTGTCGTTTTGGGTCCCTTTTGAACTGGCCTATCATTTTACTCACCAACAGAATACAACCAATAATAAAATGGCACTATCATTTACTTGGCCAACTATAATAATAAATACTGAGTAAGACAATGAAAATTTTGATGATAATAATAGAGGAAGGTGATGTTGCTTTCCTCTTGGTTGAATTTTGGTGTTTTGATTTTTAACGTCTGATGAATTATGATGACCTAGTCTTTGATTTCATAATTTGGCTTGCCTCACACAACGCAACCAATTGGGTGGAACTGGAATTGCAATCAATTATCTCTGAATGATCGAGTGATTCGATAAGAATTCTTGAATGTATTACTTAAGAGATATTGAGTTTAAATTTTTTCTCGGTTGTTAATAGGAATAACCACTAGAGCTCTTATTCAATTGATAGTTTCATAGTCTCGAAAAATTAATTAAAGTAAGTATAAGTTGATCCGAAAACCCGATCTTTAAAAAATAAAAAAATATAAAAAAATAAACTGCAACCCATATCACTTATTGTAACTCTATGTATTGTGCTTAGTGACACTATTAAGTAGTCCTGGCCTAGCCCTGATGTATTTTTGAGGGGCTTTTACTTTATGCAGGCAATTAGTTTGGGCCACAAAAGAAGTTGGTACTACAAAGTGGATCCTCTCCAGCTGTAGTAGTTTCCCCTCCCTTCGATTCTGTTTGACTTTGGACATGGATCTCCTGGTAATTCACTTTTCTTCTTCCGGTTCCTTCGATATTACAGTTAGTCGAATTCACCATTTTTATTACAATAAAATATCGATAACTCAGATTACTACAAAACCATATCGAAGGCATTTCCTAATTGATCGCAAACTGTCATATCCAAGGCTGTCTCTATAACATTTGTTACCCAAAGTTATTTTGGGCTTATAATAATATAAGCATATATTAAAAAAATTATTTTAAATTTATTTTCTTACTTTTTAAGATGCAAAACCACTAGGAAACGTGGACGGCGATAGATAGGCTAACGGGATTGGGTTGATGGGGGTTTTGGAGAACAAATGTTGGAGAAACGATGGGTGGTGAAACATGTAATTTTCAATGCCCGGATTGATAAGAAAAGGCTTGAGAAGTCACAGCCTAAAAGGTATTGATAGCCGACGATTGACGGAGTAAACGGATGAAGTGTAATAGAGATTTTTGTGAGAGGGTTGAGGGGAGGAAGATGGTGGTGTCGGGGAAGACCAACAACGCCGAGTACATGCTAAAAATATTGGAAATGGTTGTCGTGCACGGTGGAGTTGAATTATGAGATTCATAAAAAATCGGACAAATTGAAGGTTATCAAGGTTGGAAAAATACTTGGGAAATGATAAGGTGATGATTTTGGTTAATTTAAGTGAAAAAATCGATTGGAATCAACTCCAAATCGCTAGCAACAGAAGTAGAAGGGTAGAGATGATTTATGTGAATGTCGAATTTTGGGATGGAATTGGGATTGAGTAATTTGAAACATGTAAATTACTATTTTAATCTTTTATTGTTAAAAGAAATTCAATAAATTAATTAAGAGGTGTAAATTAGAATATATAAAACTAGAGATACAAACTTGCTATTTCATCAAACTTTAGATGAAAATATATATATTTATAATAAATTTAGATCCTTTTAGGTTTTTTTTTTTTATCGGATAAAAATATATTAAAAAAATTGGGCCCCTATTTTTCGGGGCCCTAGGCAGGTGCCTCACCTGCCTCACCTGCCAACCCCTTTAGCGGGGCCTGTTCGTATCGAAGATTATAAAAAAAAGGTTTCTGAGATTGGATCGCTTTTTATTGAGGCTGCAAAATTTAACCGCCCGGCCAACAATAGTAATGAACTATCCTGCTGGATCTGCAACTGCCTATGGTTATAGAAACGGTATTCTGATTTTATATCTGTGTATCACAATTTTGGTTTTCCATTTATTCTAAAAAAGTAGCATATGGCATTGAACGTATTGTACACAATAGAGAGGGATTTTATTAAATAATACTTGGGATCTCCATTGGCATTCACCATGGATATTACACCATAACCAAACCAAACCAAAACACATAAACAACCTCTCGCTAACCCCATTCACCTGCGATCCAAATTTTCAATTTCTTATCAGTAACCAAATAACATCAAAATACAGAAATAATAAAACAATCTGCAATTGAACGTATGATTTTCTTTATACCTAGATAGGGATGTTTAATCGCTGTCGCTGTCGCTGCTGCTGTGGCCATCCTCGTGCTTCTTCTTCTTCTCCTTCTTCTTTTTCTTATTCTCTTCGCCATGTCCATGTTGATCACCTTGGCCATGGATCTTGTCCTTGATCTTCCCCACAATTCCCTCTTTGTGCTCCCCATGTTCAGGCTTGTGTTCGCCGTGGTGCTGCTCCACCTTGTGAGCTTCTCCATGATACTCCCCCTTGTGCTCCCCCTTGCGCTCTTCCTCCTTCTTCTGCCCTCCCATGTGGAGAGTCTCCTGAACCTTGTGGATAATTCCTGACATTTTGTTTCTTGATTTGCTTTCAATCAATTAAAAAACTTCGAGTAATGAATGTTGGTGTGAAAACGTATGCACATCTTGATTTCTATTTATAGGGAAAGTTTGAGGTAAAATATCTTTGATTCTTTTTAAATTACAACTTTATCCGTATTGTTTTGTAAATATCATAAAGACCTCTTATATTTTAAACTATAACTCCATAAGGGGTGAATTTGATAGTAAACACAAACTTTAGGGAAAACATGACATTTTAGAAAGAAATTTTTTTTGGTAATTTTGGTATGTATGACAATAAAATAAGATTTGATTAAAGAAGATTATCTGCTGGTGTATGAGTGAATTACGTAAATGCCCATAATACGTGTACGCGGCGTGTTGATGTACTAAGTGGAACTGTGGAAGTGGTATTATATTAAGAAAATATGAGATTCACAATATGCAGACACGTGTCAAATAAAGACAACGAATGTATTGTGGGCATATGCCGTATAGGCAGTTAAACATGTTCTTTCCGAGACCGCTTTTAAGTTCTTGTCCTTATCAATGTTGCTTAAATTTTTTTTTTTTTAATAATCGAATCAATTTATAAGTATTTTAATTTGAGATTCTAAAACTATAAATTGGATAAAAATTATAAAAATTACCTCTGTTAACAGTTATTTCATATTGATTCTTCTCAACTTCAAAATTTAAAATATTTGAAATTTCATATAATAATTATAAAAAATAAAACATTGTTTCAAGTTTACTTTACACTTTTGCTGTTAGAACAGGATAAAGTGCATATTTGATAGAACAGGGGAGATGTGGATAGGGCATAAAGGGGAAGGCATTGTTGGGGGCGATCTGATAAGGCTATAGTGCCACTAAGATGTTTATGACTTTCTGTCATTTCACGTGATTCTGACACCTGCACCAATCACTTCGTCACCGAAAATAAGGAGCTATTATAGAACTGGGGCCATCCCGGCCTTCATTCTTTCTTTGGATTCTATTACTTTATTTTATTTTATTTATGTCGGCCAATAAACTTTCAATATGCCTTTTTGGAGTGATTAGTGAGAAACTCTTGCCTGTATTCCTAAAGGGGTCTCGACTTTGAATTTCTTTCTCAAATGCTAATAGGGTAGTCATGAAGCTTCTACTTAGCTGATAGTCTAGTAATTTTAAGTAAGAGTGTTCAAAAGAACCAATTAGAATCGAAACCAGCAGATATTCTGGGTTTGGTTTCGGTTCCTATCCGGAACTGGTTGTCAACGGATAGATTCTGATTCTAAATTTTTGACACTATTACTGTGCGATTCTGATTCTGGTTTCTATAGTTAGGAACTAGAACCGAGACTAATATAAAATAAAATTAAAGAGGAGGTTAATAACAATTTTTATAAAAAAAGTAACGTGAATACATTTATATTTATATTTATATTTCATAACATTTAAAGTAAGTTGGTTTGACTTTTGAGAATCTACCTTTACAAAGTAATGGAGTTTATAATTTTGAATTTTGATTTTATAATTTGTAATTTTATTTTTGTTAACACATAACAGGTGGTGGATGTTTGTAAGTTTTTAAGGGGCTTTTTGCCTTTTAAAAACTTTTGGGGGGTAATTATAATTTTATAGGGTACCCAAAACCAGAACCAGAACCGAAATCGTTGTTACCGATTCTGGTTAACAACAATTTCGGTTCTGGGTACCTAGGAATCGAAATCGTCGGTTTCGATTCCGATTGTGATTCCAAATTTCAAGGAACCGTCGGTTCCAGTTCCTTCAAAAAATACGGGGTACTCGAATCAAACACCTCTAGTTCTAAGGTTTCGAATGATTAATTAAGATGTGCGTAAGTTAACCAGGCACCTCGATCATTTAAAAAAAAAAAAAAAAAGGCTTTACTACAAAATGGAGATTACTGTATAAAACAAATACAATCAAAACCAATCATGATAATTTATATTTTAAAAAAAATGACATGGGCTTTGTAGTTCACCCCAATTATGAAATAAAGCCCACTTAAAATTGGGCCGAGCTATAAATCCCATGCCACTTTCATTTGAATGTAACTGATCCTTCTGTCAATTAGGAAACAGTCAAACCCAATAAGATGTTAGATCTTATATTGTACAATTATTATACTCTAAATGAGTAATAAAAGAGTAATATGAAGTAAGATCGCTGCTGGATAAGTGCAGTTGTAAATGTTAGTTTTACGAACCCAAATGTGCCTTCAACTTTGGATACTGTGTAGTGAATCCATTGCTTTGGTAACCATTTTGCAAGCCCAAAATCACAAATCTGAATTAAAAGGAACTAATACTTACTTTCTTTAGCTTTGCATGCTCTAACTAGTGAGAAAACTCACTAAAGCTTCATTAATTGTAACATTAATTAAACGAAATTTGGGGAAAAAAAAATATTGCTAAATCAGAGAGCTCAAAGCAGATATATTATGTACCTGAGGTACAAAATCTTCAGTCAGCAAAATATTGGCAGCCTTGATATCGATGTGAATGATTCTCCTGTGACAACCCTCATGAAGATATAGTAAACCCTCGGCTATCCCTAAAGCAATCAATCTTATGCCTAGCACCTCATTTCAGTTTCTCCTTCGCACCTTAATAATCTAAGATTAATTTTCTTAAAAGGGTACATAATTTACATGAAATCATCGGTGGCAATGTATATGCAGTACACACATATACATTGTCACTGCTTTTTAAAGAGGAAAACGGATATTTTTTCTAACCTAGCTGTGTATCAGCTTCGCAACCCAATTGAACTTTGTTGAAGCAGCTAAGCATGAAATTGCAAAAAAAGATAAAAAATTATTATTTAATTTTTTTTGTCCAACCCACGGGTTGACCGTTGGCTTGCAACGACCAACCCGTCGGGTTGAAAACTTCAAACCCGATGGGTTGGTCGGGTTCAACTCGACCCGCCTTTTGAACAGTCAGGATTGAACCGTCTTAATGCGGGCTGGGTTAGGGTTGACCCGCCTAACCCGGCTTTAGACAGTCCGAGTTGAACCTGTCTTAATGTGGGCCGGGTTAGGGTTGACCCGCCTAACCCCGCTCATTTGTTCCACCTCTATTAACCGATATATTAAGGGTTGATAGATTTTTAAAAATATCTTCAGAGTCGCTTAAGGGATCTGGTGTATTGCCAGTATAAATAAGTCTGATCGCTTAAGCGATTTGCTGCCATATACCCGATCACTTAAGCGATCTGCTGTTATATACTAGACTTATACCAGATCGCTTAAGCAATCAATTAGCTCTAGGATACATTTTCAGTCATCTCAACCTATAATCAGTACTACCACCCCTAGCTACCCACAATGCAAGAAAATCATCAACAAATCTCGTTCATTTCAACTTGCATTACATCAAACACAACACAAGAACCTAAACCATTAAATCGAAATCATAACCCAAACTTAATCCATCATTAAATCTTTATAAATAGAAATATAAAATACAAAGAGAAGATTCATATACCTAGATGAAATGTTATAAGGAAGAGGCAGATTTTGGCGGAGAAGATGTTAATGGCAAAGGAAAAAGAAGATGTAGAGGAAGAAGAAGATCTTCGGTTTTGCAAGAAGATATAGCAGCCAAGAGAGGGCAGTTCTGACGCATTAATGGCGGGAGGGAGGAAAATGAATTTGTTTGCAATAATTTTGGGTTTTTAGAGACATAGATAATTTTTAAAAGATTAGACAATTATTCATTAATCCTAGTTAAAACATGATTAATTCTTAATTATGTTTAATTACTCTTAATAAATAATAAAACTATTTAATTAAGAGTTTAACACTTAATATCCTTTTAATTAAATTAAAACTTAATACGGTCTTTTAATCAAAACCTTTTAACCCTATATATTGTGCTTAGTGACACTATTAAGGAGTCCTGGCCTAGCCCTAATATATTTTTGAGGGGCTTTTACTTTATTCAGATAATTAGTTTGGGCCAGGGGATTGGGCCACAAAAGTTGTTGGTACTACAAAATGGATCCTCTCCACCTGTAGTGGTTTCCCTTCCCTTCGATTATATTTGACTTTGGACATGGATCTCCTGGTAATTTACTTATCTTCTTCCCGGTTCCTTCGACATTACAGTTAGTCGAATTCACCATTTTTATTACAATACAATATCGATAACTCAGATTACTACAAAACCATAACGAAGGCAGAATCTATTTCCTAATTGATTGCGAACTGTCATATCGAAGATCATAAAAAACAGTTTTTGAGATTAGATCGCTGTTTATTCAGGTTACAAAATTTAACCCACCCGCCAACAATAGTAATGAACTATCCTGCTGGATCTGCAACTGCCCATGGTTATAGAAACGATATTTTGATTTTATATTTGCGTATCTCAATTTTGGTTTTCCATTTATTCTAAAAAGTAGCATATGGCATTGAAAGTATTGTACACAAAAGAGAGGGATTTTATTATACAATACTAGAGATCTCCATTCACCATGGATATTACACCAAAACCAAACCAAACCAAAACACATAAACAACCTCTCGCTAACCCCATTCACCTGCGATCCAAATTTTCAATTTCTTATTAGTAACCAAATAACATCAAAAAACAGAAATAATAGAACAATCTGCAATTGAACGTATGATTTTCTTTATACCTAGAAACGGGTGTTTAATCGCTGTCGCTGTCACTGCTGCTGTGGCCATCGTCGTGCTTCTTCTTCTTCTCCTTCTTCTTCTTCTTCTTCTCTTCGCCATGTACATGTTGATCACCTTCGCCATGGATCTTGTCCTTGATCTTCCCCACCATTCCCTCTTTGTGCTCCCCATGTTCAGGCTTGTGTTCGCCGTGGTGCTGCTCCACCTTGTGAGCTTCTCCATGATACTCCCCCTTGTGCTCCCCCTTGCGCTCTTCCTCCTTCTTCTGCCCTCCCATGTGGAGAGTCTCCTGAACCTTGTGGATAATTCCTGACATTTTGTTTCTTGATTTGCTTTCAATCAATTAAAAAACTACGAGTAATGAATATTGGTGTGAAAATATATGCACATCTTGATTTCTATTTATAGGGAAAGTTTGAGGTAAAATATCTTTGATTCTTTTTAAATTACAATTTTATCCTTATTGTTTTATAAATATCATAAAGACCTCTTATATTTTAAACTATAACTCCATAAGGGGTGAATTTGATAGTAAGCACAAAATTTAGGGAAAATATGACATTTTAGAAAGAAATTTTTTTTGGTAATTTTGGTATGACAATGACAATAAGATTTGATTAAAGAAGATTATCCGGTGGTGTACGAGTGAATTACGTAAATGCCCATAATACGTGTACGCGGCGCGTTGATGTACCAAGTGGAAGTAGTATTATATTAAGAAAATATGAGGATATTTGATAAAAAAGGGCAGATGAGGGCATAAAGGGAAAGGCATCGATTGGGGGCGATCTGATAACGCTACAGTGTGACTAAGATATTTATGACTTTCTCTGTAATTTCACGTGATTCTAACACTTTTAGCCAATCACTTCATCACCGTAAATAAGGTGCCATTATGATTATAGAATTGGGGGGCCATCCCGGCCTTTATTCCTTCTTGGATTCTATTATTTTATTTTATTTTATTTATGTCGGTCCAAAAAACTTTATATATTCCTTATTAGTGGAATAATTTGACAAAAACTTGCATTATTAAAGACGTCCGAATTCGAGTTTTTCTTCGCTCGTTAATTGGGTAGTTATGAAGTTTTTATTTAACAAATAGTTTAATGGTTTTAAAGTCTCAAAAGTGGGTAGTTATGAACTTTTTATTTAACCAATAGTTTAATAGTTTTAAGGTCTCAAAAGGGTTAATTGAGTATTCGTAAACTTCTCAAACACCTCTGACCATTAAAAAATAAAATAAAAAATAAAAAAATAGACTTTACTGCAAAATGGAGATTATTGTATAAAACAAATACAATAGAAACCAATAATCATAATTTATATTACAAAATGACACGGGCTTTGTAGTTCAGCCCAATTATCAAATAAAGCCCACTTAAAATTGGGCCGAGCTATAAAGCCCATGCCACTTTCATTTGAATGTAATTGATCCTTTTGTCAATTAGGAAACAGTCAAACCCAATAAGATGTTAGATCTTATATTGTACAATTATTATTAATAAATTTAGATGTTAGGATTATTCCATATTTTGTTTGAAAACTAATTGAATTAGTGCCAACCCTTAGAGGAAGAGCGACAAAAACATAATTTTACGTGATAACTCGTAATTAATTAGATTATATAATTGATTAGATTACAATTAGATAGATAAGAATGATAACGGGACAACCAAACGGATTATGAAATAAGTTTTTGGATTGTAAGTGTTATATTCCCTTCATTATTATCAGTCGTCGCTTCTTATTCAATTAGGTTACAAAATTTAACCCCTGCAACTGCCCATGGTTATAGAAACGATATTTTGATTTTATATTTGTGTATCACAATTTCTGTTTTCCATTTATTCTAAAAAAGTAGCATATGGTATTGAAAGTATTGTACAGAATAGAGAGGGATTTTATTACATAATAATTGGGATCTCCATTCACCATGGATATTACACCAAAAACATAAATAACCTCTCGCTAACCCCATTCACCTGCGACCCAAATTTTAAATTTCTTGTTAGTAAAACCAAATAACATCAAAATACAGAAATAATAAAAGCTTTAGAACGTATGCTTTTCTTTATACCTATATTGGGATGTTTAAAGGCTGTCACGGCAGCTGCTATGGCCATCCCCGTGCTACTTCTTCTCAAAGCCATGTCCATGTTGATCACCTTGGCCACAGACCTTGTCCTTGATCTTCTCCACCATTCCTTTTTTGTGCTCCCCGTATTGAGGCTTGTATTCGCCGCGGTGCTGCTTCACGCCATGTCCATGTTGATCACCTTGGCCATGGACCTTGTCCTTGATCTGCTCCACCATTCCCTCTTTGTGCTCCCCGTATTCAGGCCTGTATTCGCCGCGGTGCTGCTCCACGCCATGTCCATGTTGATCTCCTTGGCCCTGGACCCTGTCCTTGATCTTCTGCACCCCTCCCACTTTGTGCTCCCCGTGTTCAGGCTTGCATACGCCGTGGTGCTGCTCCACCTTGTGAGCTTCTCCATGATACACCCCTTTCTGCTCGCCCTCCTTCTGCCCTCCCATGTGGAGAGTCTCCTTAACCTTGTTGATAGTTTCTGACATTTTGTTTCTTGATTTGCTTTCAATCAATTAAGAAACCTACGAGTAATGAATGTTGGTATGAAAACTCATGCATATCTTGATTTCTATTTATAGGGAAAGTTTGAGATAAATATCTTTGAATCTTTTGTAAATTACAATTTTATCCTTATGGCTTTATAAATATCATAAAGACCTCTTATATTTTAAACTATAACTCTATGGGCAATACTATACAGTCTACTGTCTATATTTACAATTCAATTTCATAATTTTTTTTTTTCATAATCTTGATACGATAACTCATAATTGGTCAGTTTATAATAAATTTTATCTGTTTAATTATAAATTGACTAATTATGAACTGTTACTTTGAAGTTGTTTGAAAAGATTTACTAAGATTAAATTATATAATGTTTAATATAGCTCTACAAGAGTGAATTTGATAGTTAGCAGAAACTTTAGGGGAAATATAACATTTTCGAAACAAAATTGGTAATTTTAGTATGACAGTAACAATAATAAGATTTGATTAAAGAAGATTATCCGGTTGTGTTTGAGTGAATTGTTGTACTAAGTACTATATTAAGAAAATATGAGGATATTTGATAGAACAGGGGAGAGGTGGATAAAGGGAAAGGCGTTGATTGGGGGCGATCTGATAAGGCTATTGTGCCACTAAGATATTTATGACTTTCTCTGTAATTCTGACACTTCTAGCCAATCACTTCATCACCGTAATTAAGGAGCTATTATGGGTGCGTTTGGTGTAATATTTTGGATATGATTTTGGGATAGTATTAAGTTATTGAATATAGAAGTATTATGAGGTAAATTTTAAAAATTTATGAAAAAGCTTTTAGGTTTACTAATTTAATTAAAGACCCTACGGCCAAAAAAGATCAGAGCGGTGAAATTTCAACCATTTATGTCAGAATTTAGGCCGTTGTACAGATTTCGGCCATCACCAACAGTGGTTGTCAGAATCTGACAAGTTGGGTTGATGAGTGTATTTTTGTTAATTTTTAAACTTTTTTTTAAGGGGTATTTAGTGAAATTAATAATCTTATAGGGTCTAAAAGTAATTAAAAAAATAAAATAATATTTCTGGAATAGTGTGCTAAACATTATTTAGAGAATAAGATAAGGATATTGATAAAAATAGGCAGCGAAACGCACCCTATGATTATAGAATTGGGGGCCATCCCGGCCTTTATTCTTTATTGGGATTCTATTATTTTATTTTATTTATGTCGGTCAAAAAACTTTATATAGTCGTTATCAGTAGTGGAGTAATTTATGTATTATGAAAGAGTTCTCGAGTTTTCGTTAATATGGATATTTACTAAAGCTTTTATTTAATTGATAGTCTAATAATTTTAGAATCTTAAAAAGTTTAATTGAGATATGTTATTAATATAAATAATTATTGAAATTTTTACTTAGTTAATAGTTTAGTAGTTCTAAAGTCTCAAAATAATTAATTAAGGATATTTGATTGTGATAACTGGTCCAACCCTCCGATTATCCAGAATAAATATATATATATATATATATAATATATATATTATTATATATATATATATATATATATATTTCATATTTTGTTTGAAAACTAATTGAATTGGTGTAACCTCTGAGGAAGAAGGGGCCAAAACATAATTAGATATGATAACTTAGTAATTATTAGATTACATAATTATTAGTTACGATTAGATAGACAGCCATAACGAGTCAAGCAAAATCTTTTTTTGGACTGATTATGAAATAGTTTTTGGATTGTATGTTATATTCCCTTCATTATTATCAGTCCTCGCTTCTTATTGAATTAGGTTACAAAATTTAACCCCCTGCAACTGCCCATGGTTACAGAAACGATATTTTGATTTTATATTTGTGTATCACAATTTTGGTTTTCCAAAGTAGAGCATATGGCATTGAAAGTATTGTACACAACAGAGGGATTTTTATTTATATACTTGGGATCTCCATTCACCATGGATATTACACCAAACCAACCAAAAACATAAATAACCTCTCGCTAACCCCATTCACCTGCGACCCAAATTTTCATTTCTTGTTAGTAAAACCAAATACATCAAAATACAGAATAAAAAAGCTTTAGAACGTATGCTTTTCTTTATACCTATATTGGGATGTTTATTAGTTGTCACGGCTGCTGATGTGGCCATCCTGGTGCTTCTTCTCTACGCCATATCCATATTGATCACCTTGGCCATGGACCTTGTCCTTGATCTGCTCCACCATTCCCTCTTTGTGCTCCCCGTATTCAGGCCTGTTTTCGCCGCGTGTTTGCTGCACGCCATGTCCATGTTGATCACCTTGGCCAGGGAGCTTGTCCTTGATCTTCTCCACCGTCCCTCTTTGTGCTCCCCGTATTCAGGCCTGTATTCGCCGTGGTGCTGCTGCACGCCCTGTCCATGTTGATCACCTTGGCCAGGGAGCTTGTCCTTGATCTTCTCCACCAGTCCCTCTTTGTGCTCCCCGTATTCAGGCCCGTATTCGCCGCGGTGCTGCTGCATGCCATGTCCATGTTGATCACCTTGGCCAGGACCTTGTCTTTGATCTTCTCCACCAGTCCCTCTTTGTGCTCGCCGTGTTCAGGCTTACATACGCCGTGCTGCTGCTTCACGCCATCACCTTGGCCAGGACTTGTTCTTGATTTTCTGCACCAGTCCCTCTTTGTGCTCCCCGTGTTCAGGCTTGCATACGCCGTGGTGCTGCTCCACCTTGTGAGCTTCTCCCTGATACAGCCCTTTCTGCTCGCCCTCCTTCTCGTGCCCTCCCATGTGGAGAGTCTCCTTAACCTTGTTGATAGTTCCTGACATTTTGTTTCTTGATTTGCTTTCAATCAATTAAAAAACCTACGAGTAATGAATGTTGGTATGAAAACTCATGCATATCTTGATTTCTATTTATAGGGAAAGTTTGAGATAAATATCTTTGAATCCTTTTAAATTACAATTTTATCCTTATCGCTTTTATAAATATCATAAAGACCCCTTATATTTTAAACTATAACTCTATGGGCAATACTATACGATCTATAGTTTATATTTACAATTCAATCTCATAAACTTTTTTTCATAATCTCGATATGGTAACTCGTAATTGGTCAATTGAGAATGGATTTTATCTGTCTAATTATGAATTGATTAATTACGAACTATCATGTTTGTTATGCCTGGAAAATCAAGGGTTGACATGAGAAGTCACGTGATGAAGTGTGACCTGCTCCCGTCAGAACGGTAAGCGCACGTCAGGTCTGCCAAACGCTATGGAGCTGCCACGTGTCCATTTTTCTGCAATAAATCGCGTGAAATCAGCTTGGGAAGTGAGCAATGAGACGTAAAGCCGGATTATGTCCTGACACTCACACTAACCCATGGATTTAATGATGATTACACGCCTTCATCTCGTTATAAAAAGAAGAAGACCCCTTCATTAAGGGGATTCGGCCATTTTTACACTGGAACTCTCTCTCTCTCTCTCTCTCTTGAAAAAATTGTATTTACTTTTCCTAATCGTTTGTAAGTCAGTCCGCTATTGCGACCTGACCCACAATACTAATACAAATCAGTGGACGTAGGACTTGCTACCTTAGCATTCGAACCACTTTAAAAAGCTTTCATTGCATTCATTTCACATTTTCTATCCATAATCACGTGTGTCTCTTGACCAATCAACGTTACGCACGTGTCGATTAGTTGGTGTTAGAATCACGCATCAACAGTTTGGCGCTAGAAGGAGGGCATTGATTTAGTATTCATCCTTCATCACGAGAATCTTCAACCTACTGGTCCTACAGCAACAAATGACCCGCCAATCTGAACCTGAGCAAGCCAACCAACGCGTTGAGGGAGTCCCCCTAACCCAGGGGGATACCCCTTCCAGGATAATTCCAGTTTCACAAAATGTTGCGGGGGATATCCTGGCAGCTTCGCAGCTTGACCCCGCCATCAGAAGCTACTTGAGAGGTTCGACAATACTCTCCAGACGATCAACCAGAGGCTAGACCGTTTGGACCAAGGCATGTCATCTACAACAACTGGGGCGGTGCAACCACCAAAAACGCCTGCAGGTCGCGGGAAAGCGCGGCAAAGGGAAATAGCCCGTGCCGCGAGCACTGCAGCGCGTAGACATAAGGGTAAGCAAGTGGCAAAAAGTAAGCCTACGGGCTCCCAAGGATGAGCGAACACAAACCGTGCCCCGAGCAGGGTGCTGGCAAAGCTGAGACTCGGCGAAAAAGTGAATCCCGAGCTGTCCCATGCCACGTCGCAGGTGAACCCAAGCAAAGGTGTCAGGCGCGACGATTCCTGTCATCGCCAGCAGAACGATCCCGATCGCTATCATGCGGGTGGTCCCCACACCTCGCAAGGCGGTTCGTACCACCGCGAGGGTCGTGAAAATGCCCCGCACAATCCATCGCCTTCACACGCCTCTAGTCAACGTGTGTCGAGTGCGACCGGAAATACCGACCGAGGCGAAGAGGAGTCCGACCTCCGGACTTTCCTGAACCGTAATCGCGAAAGCCGGACTCGCATGGGTGAAAGCAATCCCCAATTGGCTCCATTACCACAGATTGAGGAGCTATAGCGAGCTCTGGACAGGTTAAGGGAGCAGCAAAACGAACAGGCCCAGGTCGCCTCTGCATCCCCTTTCTCCCCCGAAATGCTAGCTGCTCCACTCCCACCGGGGTTCAGAATGCCCGACATGCGACCATTTGATGGGAACCATGACCCACAAGATCATTTGTATGAGTTCAACGACCTGATGGAGCTCCACCAGGTTTCGGACCTTGCAAAATGTCATTGTTTGGCCGTGACGCTGACTTCTCATGCTAAGCGGTGGTTAAGGTCGATCCCAGTGGGATCGATCAGTTCGTGACCTCAGATGAGCACGACGTTCCTACGGCATTTCCAAGCAAATTGGAAGTTTTCGATGCCTTTGAGCTACCTCAGCAACAGAAGGTAAGAAAGAGACGAATCCCTGCAATCTTATATCGACCGTTTCCACAGGGAACTCAACAAGGTGGCTCATGTCCCATAAGAGTTCATCC